GATTTTCAGCAGCAGGGTCTGGGAGACTAGTCAGAATGGAGGGAAATATGAACGGAGCAAAGTACAGTGAGATCCTTGATGAAAAGCTGCTCCTCAGACCGGGGCGAAGCTTCACCTTCCAACAGGACAACGACCCAAAGCACAAAGCCAAGACAACGCAGGAGTGGTATTATTATTTATTGTCTTTTTTTTATTTATTTTTTTTGGTATTCTTTCTTAAAACTGCATTGTTGGTTAAGGGCTTGTAAGTAAGCATTTCACTGTAAGGTCTACACCTGTTGTATTCGGCGCATGTAACAAATACAATTTGAATTGATTTGATTTGAATACTGGGGATCAGAATATTCCATATGGGTCTGGATCCAGGGACAGACTGGGACCAGAAATTGCCAGGGCATTTCTAACACACTGGCCCATTTTCTCCCTCGAGGCCCCCACTATTAACCATTTTGTGCAACAAAAGGAACTATTTAGACCAACCCATCTGGCGAACTACCCTATGGCCAGTCAGTTTCTGACTGGACTTCTTCAGCAGTCACCAGGACCAATGTAACAGAGTCAAAGAACACTTGTCGAAGACATTCTAATGGTCTTTAAAACCGCAGATTATTTGACTCATTCCATTCGTTTCATACTATTTATTAACAGTTAATGATCTGACATATCTTACATCCCCACTGTGATCATTGCAGTGTGATAACGGCATAACACATTGCATGAGACAAATGTTAATGTGTGTTAAAATATCTAATGTCATGTAATTTGGGTGGGCAAGGGACTGAACCACTGAATTGATTAACGTCAAATGCTTCAATGCCCCGGTTTTGAAATCAAACATGACGTGATTATTAGAACACAGTATAGCGGTCCCAAAGCAAACAGCACTAATAGCAAATAGTAGGGCGTCTAATAATGAACACTGAATTGACACAAAGTTAACCAATAACCAAAATCGTCTCTGGATTGGAATGTTTTGTACCTACCGCCTTAAGAATCATAATAGTTAAATATGTATGCACACAAAATTAAGTTGTATGATTTCAAGGTGGGAACTATAATGTGCATTCCAAGGTAAGGATTTCTAGGAAATTCATGTACTGTATGTATCCATGGCTTTCATCTGCAACAATTTATACTCTATTTACAAAAACTCATTCATGACACATCCAACTCATCCATTACAGCTCACCAGAGCATGTTCAAAGCATTACAGCACACTTGACATGTCAAATGGAACTGAGTTGAATGAGAGTTTGGGACTAGAAGGTTCTATCTGCAAAAAGAGGATTCTAAGATAATTGGCTTTAAAGTTCCGAACCCTCATTGGTTTGAATGGTGTCAGCAATTTTGATCTTGTATTCTTTTGAACTTTACAACATGAATTTGGGGTATTTAGTGTACTATATAGGTAGAGAACATCGAATAGAACAAATTATGACAAAAATGCAGATAGAACCTTATAGTCCTAAGCTCTCAGTATAGGAAAGATTGAGCTAATTGATGTACTACATACTCAATTGTCAGTGTGCAGATCTTGTGATTCATTTTCATAGCATTTTATACATAATTGCACTATAATATATGTTGGATGTAACATGAAGCTTTTATGATGCTCTGTCACTTTATGTCATGTTTATATATGAGTCAGTGACTCATTTATGGATGTTTTATGATAAGTGTTATAAATATTTTCACCCTTAACTTGTTCTAGTAGTGGCTGTATGGTTGATGTTATTGGGTTATAAATGGGGTCAGTTTAGTCTTTACATTTTCAAACTTCATCATGGCTTAGGTTTGGAGGGCGGGCAAACTACCCGCCCTCCAAGACACATACAGCACCCGATTTCACAGGAAGGCCAAAAAGATCATCAAGGACATCAACCACCCGAGCCACTGCCTGTTCACCCCGCTATCATCCAGAAGGCAAGGTCAGTACAGGTGCACCAAAGCTGGGACCGAGAGAGTGAAAAACAGCTTCTATCTCAAGGCCATCAGACTGTTAAATAGCCATCACTAGCACATTAGAGGCTGCTGCTGCCTATTGAAATCACTGGCCACTTTAATAATGTTTACATATCTTGCACTACTCATCTCATATGTATATACTGCATTCTATTCTATAATATTCTACTGTATCTTAGTCCATGCCGCTCTGTCATTGCTTGACCATATATGTATATATTCTTAAATCCCATTCCTTACTAGTTTTGTGTGTATTGGGTATATGTTGTGAAATTGTTAGATATTACTTGTTAGATATTACTACACTGTCGGAACTAGAAGCACAAGCATTTCGCTACACCCGCTATAACATCTGCTAAACATGTGTATGTGACAAATACAATTTGATTTGCTTAGATCATCACTTTCCCCAATCAGTACTATCGGACCCAGCACCAAGGGGTTCTTGGATAACTCCAACACGTAGATTGAGAAGGTTCACTGCAGGCACGTTCCAAACACTCCCAGTGTGTTGATCATGTGATAACAGTGTGAAAGCTCAGCCAGGGGGCCTCTAGGTCTGCGTCCCAAATGGCACCCCTATTCCCTATGAGCCCTGGTCAAAAGTAGTGCACTAAATAGGGAATAGGATGCCATTTGGGATGCAAGAGAATAAAAAACAGCTGCAGGTTAGAAACTCAAATGAAACATCAGTGTAGTAAAGGGCTCCAAGGAGACGTTGAGCAAAGTAAAAGGTGTTAGCACGTGAGATACGCTTTTGCTTCATATCCCCAAGAGGTACTACCATAACGTACTGTAGGTTTCTCTGGATTTTACGAGCTAGGGTTTAATTATTGTATTACTTCAGAAACAGGGGCAATTTAGGCATGCTTTGCAGTGCAATCTCATCTGATTTCATATACCACCAGACCGTACAGTTATCATAGGTTCCACAGTCTATAAATAATACTTTTTACTTTTTCATTTTAACAAACCATAAGCAATGGTAAATCTTAGCGCTGTTGCGTGTGGCGCTATTGCTTGTGGGGTGGGGGGGTATTTGTATAATTTTCATGCCGTGAATTATAATACCTGATGATGATGATAATAGTGATGATGACGACGATGATGACGGGGACGACAATTGTAATATTTGTCATATTTGTTTATTCAAATGTGTTGTTCTGTGAAAGAGAAGAAGTTCCCACCTGCCAGCCTCTAGACTTAAATGAATATTTGGTAGGCTAAGTCATGTTGCTCCCTTACGTCTGTACATGCCTTTCAACTTACAAAAATGCTTGGCCATCTAACCTGAAATATGAAAACTATGTTTCAGATGACAGTTTTTGTTCCCCAGAAACAGTTATGGTAGGTTACAGGTTGTCTTTCTCCTCTAACATTGTTGGTCCGGTTTTGAAATGATCTGAGAACATTGCTTTTCAAACTATGCCAAGAAAAGTATAGCAACCTTTTCAACACTTTGATACTGATTTGATACTGTCTGAATGTTTCTGGAAACGTTCCATTACATTTGGGGGAACATTTGTTGTTGGCTGGGGTGTGGTATCATATAGTCATTGGGTGTCATGCATTTGATCTCTACATTGGGGAGAATTTGGAAGAATGAGATCATCTATTGAGGTGTCATTAGTATCATGTGACTGATATTTTAATGTTGTTAATTATGTCTTTCACATGCATAGTGGGAAGTGACAACTTGTGAGAGCTTCAAAAGGGATGAGAGTGATAGGGTGCAAGGTAACGGCTAATGTTTGTACCTGTCCTTTCATGTTCACAATACACATGTCTGATGGTCCTGTTAACACCTAATGTTGTCAGTGAAGTTAGCTACCTGCCACCAAAGTCACATTGCCAAGTGTTAAATCAACTCCTAAAATGCTGCGATTCAGATTAGGAACACTGCTACACCTCACAACAAACACGCACGCACAATCACACGGATACATGCCGTTATGTTATCAATCGACAGCAGGTTCAAGGTATTTACTGAACATGTCTCTATACTCTTTATGTAATGTGCCTATTAGTTGTTGCAATTCAAGGGAATCTCCTTCAGAAAGAAGGAAACTCCAATAAAATGAATGTGTCAAATACAGGAAATGAGTAAACAAAACATGTCTGCAACTGATTTCCATTGAAAAAACTCAAAAGATGTCATGGAAATTAAAATGGCAAAGTATTTGATAGTATTTCTCTCACAACAAACCAGAATCAATGATACAATATTTATTTTGTTTAGAAAATGACTATTTATTTTTTCAAAATAAGTTTAAGGAATCCAGTGATATATGTAAATAATCAATAATCAGGTTAAAGTGCAAAAATACAATTATACAAAAAGATATCTGTACAAAAATAACATTGGAATGTGAGCTTCGAAAGAGGAATAATGTGGTTATGCTAACATGGCTTTAACCAAATTAGCTAATTGTATTTTACAAAGACTGCATTACACTCGTAAATGTCCCTTAAAACACATTTGGGGATCAAAAGCGAGAGTCTTTCGGAATGTCTGAGAGGTCAAGTTTGTCAGAAAGATCTGGATCACATTCCATACATCCATGATGTATGATCCATTCGCCCCATTGGGTTTCATCATGCCCAACCAATATACTGCCTCTAAGTCCTTTAGCCCAATTCTCTCTTAACTAAATGTGAAAAAACAACTTCGTTATAGTCCAAGGTGCTCCTGTAAATTGTCTGGATACATCATAGAGATCCAGGATTTTCAAATCTCTGTGAAGAATCATTCCCCACGATGAGCACAAGAGGCTGGTGTGAAATGTTGGTGAACATTTCACTTTTTCTATAACTTTTCTTCAGTCAGAAAACTTCAGTTCGGTTCAAGTTCAGAGATGTTCTATGTGAAAAATCTGTTAATGTGCCCTTGAGCAAGGCACTTAACCCTAATTGCTCCTGTAAGTCGCTCTGGATAAGAGTGTCTGCTAAATGCCTAAAAATGCTTTTTAAAAATGTCCCCTATTCCTCTTTTTTAGGTATTGATATCACTTAATCTTGGATGGCTTTAGTTCCTTGACCTGCATGTGTAACGTTTTGTGGACGGCTAGAGTTCTGGACTGACAAAATCCCTTTCCACATTCCTGGCACTTGAATGGCTTCTCCTTGGAATGGATGTACCTGCAGGGCAGAACAGAACTCAGGATTGAATAACGAAACATAACAAACACACAAAGACAACTATCAATCTAAAGCCACAAATTCATGAGACAACAAAGAAATAAGAAAGAGAAAAAGGAGGTGAACAGTATGGTGATATATTGTTCTAAAAGGTATGAATTACAATGTATGCCTCTCATACTCAACACGTATGCAAAATGTCGATGTTGTTTACATCAGTTACAGCTATAATTCAAATCAATATCAACAGTGCCAATGTCAATTCAAAGGTATTCCGAAGTATTAACTTTAGATTGCCCCTGCTAAACTCTTTAATATGGACTTGATATCGCTTCATGCCTTTGTTGCAGCTTTTCACACTACTTAACCAGATTGTTACCTGATTTTTTCACATATCAGATTGTTACTGGATTATTTCACATACTGATCCTGAAATCTGATTCAGCATCAAATATAATCGTGTTAGTGCTACATTGGTCTGTTGCTCTAGAGGAAATTAGAAGAAGTTTGATTCTAAATGGATTTAAGGGTCCAATGCATGATATGGTTGGGGCTATTCCATTTCTTGAATTGGAATGAATTCAAATAGAATTGGACTCAACACTGATGCATGACACTGTCAGAGACTCAACATGATTAATCAGTAGCATATATGACAATTTAGGAAGCAATTATTCATATTTTTTATTAATATCCTATGCTGTTCTTATGTCTTACACAGAAGTGTACCTATAAATGGGGTCTGGGCTTTTCTGTTGAAGGTTATGTGGCAATTAATAAAGTTTCCAATAATACAATAATTTACAATAAAATATTATTCATTCATTTACAACATTTTGGCAGCCATCTATCTCCATACTCCTCATTCGTTAAATTGAGCTTCATTGTAATAGAAAAGTGCAGGTCTCACCTGTGGTCTCGGAGGTGGTCTTGTCTCCGGAAGGCCTTGTGGCAGATGTCGCAGGTGTATGGCCTCTCATCCGTGTGCGTCCGCTCATGGATAAGCAAGTTGTAGGACTTGGTGAAGTGGCGGCCGCAGAACTTGCACACAAACTCCTTCTTGGTCTTGGAGGGCAGGCGGCCGCGGCTGGGCTTACGCTCGGGCGATGACAGCTTGGCTACGTCCATGAGACAGCCTAGCCCGCCATGGCGAGGGGAAGTAGTGGCGACTGCCCCCATTATGCTCAGGTCCTCCGCCTTCAGTGGGTCCTCCTGGGTGGCGGCGGTGGCCAGGTTGGCGAAGTCGAAGCGTGGCTGAGGCTTGTTCTTGGAGACCTGGAAGAGACCCATGGCGGTGGCAGCAGCGGCCTGGTCCTTGGTCTGGACCAGGTGGGGAAAGATGGGGATGGAAGGTATGCCGGGGAAGCGGCCGTCCATCAGGGCTGGGAGCTTGGAGAAAGTGCAGCGGGGGAGAGCGAAGGGAGGGTAGCCCAGGGTCCACTGATGGAGGTGGACGGCATGTAGGGCGCTGAAGCTATAGATGCCAGGGACCTGGTCCGTGGGTAGCTGGAAGCCGTTGGAGGTCTGGAGGAAGGAGTAGTTGGCCAGCCGCAGGGAGGGGTGGAGGGGAACCGGGGCTGGAAGAGTCTTGCTGCCCATGGTTGGTGTCGCTACTGATCACCAGATCACGGGATTCTCTCTGGAAAAGCAACGCCACAAAAAAGTCAGGTCATATTGTTAACACAACAGAACTGTACATATACAGTATAAGTAATAATGTGTTATTAAAGTTTTACAAACCAATGATACCATGACAATAACAGTGTCTTCTACTATACTAAAACTACAAATAATGACAATTTTGATCATCATTTTTAATAACGAACCAGTAAGCATAATTGTGATATTTAATAAGGATCAAAGAACATTTCTAACTAAGTATTTCCTGCTAACCCTTCTTTTTGAGTCATCCGGGCATCTCCCCCTAACACCCTAACACAACCACCTCAATGCCAGGCCAATACACAGGCGGCCCTGCTTGATTATCTAGTTGCTTTTCAAGAGGCCTCATTATCAGTGGATTAAGGTGATGCATGTGAATATCTCCCCTTACCACTGAGACAAAGTGGAAGAGAGTGATAAGAGCTGTCTAAACCAGACCTCCATGCCACAGGAGCTACCAGCTCAACACGTGGCCCGACACACACACCATGAATCACCTATTGTCCTCAAGGCACACGATGAATGAGGACAGCCTGCGTTTGTGGGTATGTGTGTGTGTACACACATGCATGTGTGTGTGTGGGACATGCGTATATGTCAGAGAAGGGAAGGTGTGCACTGCACTCCCAGTGCTGACACACAGACACTGGCATGTGTTTGGTGTGGGTGTTTCCCGTTCCCAGAAAACATGCCGGGGGCTGTTAAGATGTGGGTAAATAGAATGACACCATTCACTGAGGTGAAATACCTCCGTGAGCAGAGCTCTAAAGTGCGACCATATGCTCCTAAATATTTTGCTGTGTGACCTGTCATTTTAATTTGGGAGCACTAGTGCGACTAGATTATAATTGTTGTAATGATGAGGCTTCACTGTACCGCTGTTTCCGAGTGCCCTGGATTTAAAAAAAAGTGAGCGCAGATTTGTGACTGTGGTGGTTGCACCATTACTACAGATAAAACCGCTTGTCCCTAGCCCAAACCATTCAAAAGTTGTGACCATATTACCAGCGCTCCATTGGCAGGCCATAATTTACATTAATAAACCATGTCGCGGGCCGTTAACACCTTGTTTAGTAACATTACCTTATTAGCTATCTAGCTAACAACCTGGTAACTTTACCAGTGTATCCAAACATTTGGGGGTATATATCTGACTCTGACAGCTGGCACTGTGCCTACTTTGTAACATTTGGCCAACATGATAACATCGCAGCTAACGCAGTGCCGCAGAACTCGGTGAACTAATAACAGCAGAACATAAACGGTCTTATCCTGAAAACTCACTTACATTACATTTTAGTCATTTAGCAGACGCTCTTATCCAGAGCGACTTACAGTTTGTGAATACATATTTTTTTATACTGGCCCCCCGTGGGAATTGAACCCACAACCCTGGCGTTGCAAACACCATGCTCTATCAACTGAGCTACATCCCTGCCGGCCATTCCCTCCCCTACCCTGGGCCAATTGTGGGCCGCCCATGAGTCTCCCGGTCGTGGCCGGCTGCGACAGAGCCTGGATTCGAACCAGGATCTCTAGTGGCACAGTTAGCACTGCGCTGCAGTGCCTTAGACCACTGCGCCACTCACTTGTGCTGTTATTAGCTAGAATTTAACTACATTAGCTATATATTACTTTCTAGTGGACAACACATACTTCAAAAGTAGCTAGAATTCATATAGGCCGAATAAAAGCTGTATCTCGATCAATTAAAAAAATCTTATTTTCTGGTGCTCCTAAATTGTATGTGGTGCTCCTAAGTTTTTTAAGTTAGTAGCACCAGTGCTACCAATTAATGTTTTTAATGTATAGCCCTGTCTGTGAATCTGTTTAAACAGGTTTTGGTAAGAGGAAATAACTAAGGAAAAGAATGCCTCTGTTTCTGAGCATATTTGTGGTCAGGATATGACACAGTTATCCTGTGTCTTTTCTGTCTTAGTCTAAACAGAGTTCCCATGCCGCACCATTTTAAAAATGTTATTTAACCAGGCAAGTCAGTTAAGAACAACTTATTATTTACGATGATGGCCTACCCCGGCCAAACCCGGATGACGCTGGGCTAATTGTGCACCGCCCTATGGGACTCCCAATCACAGCCGGGTTGTGATACAGCCTGGAATCAAACCAGGATCTGTAGTGACGCATCTAGCACTGAGACACAGCGCCTTAGACCGCTGCGCCACTCGGGAGCCATTGTAATATGATTTCGCTTTCAACAAAAAAAGCATTACCCCTAAGCCAAGCCATTTGCTTTGTTTGGTTTTGTTAGTCATCGGGAATTGTGTGTAATCCCCATTTCTTACTGCTCTGCAAATATGACTTGATTACTGCTCTGCAAATATGACTTAGTCATAATTCTACTACTGGTTTATATTATTTAATGTGGGATGAGAATTATTTTCTTATTGTTAAAAGTGGTCATGGGTTATCTAATTGTGTCATACAAACTGTGTCATCATAACATAAGAAAACCACAAGATATGGCCTAATCAAGACATAGAAAATAATAGGCTACATCGATATAGATAGGCCTATTAGAGAAAAGGACCCCTTGATCATACTGGTGAACATAGGCCTAAAATGTTGTTAAATAAAAGTGGGGAGTGAGTGGTTGCGCTGCAGTAAATAAAAGTGAAATAGTCCTAATTAGAATTACCGAAGCTCAAACGTCCCCCGGGGATTTCTCCTTTCTGATCATGACGCAGAAGTAATTGACTTTTACTTAGAGGTCATTAGGGGAGATCAGCGGTTGCTCCCGAGCCGTCTCGTATCCTTAATAACCCTTTGATGTCTACATACCATCTCAACGACTCAACAATCAAGCTGAACACTGCTACGTCCCATTCCCCGTTGGTCGTGACTAGCCAACTGTTAAATTCCGCGCCTCGGCAGACAGCGGAAGTGTTGTGAGATTTGAGATACAAGATAACGCAAAGCATGATCGAATTGTCATGTCCCACACACATATCACGGCAGTATATTATTTTTAGTATGTTTCAGAAATGTGCTCTCTCTACTCTAATTCTAAATAGATATCAGAGGTAGACTACTAGGCCAGTTCAACACAAGATCCAAAATCCTATGGATTAAAGGTGACCCGAGGTAAACCTAAATGACATTTTGCCAAGACGTTGTTAGCTAATTAGGAGGATTTTGATTTGGTGTTGGCAAGAAAAGTCACACCAGCATTCCCATTTTGGTCCACACACGCCAAAATGGATCAAAATCAGCGCAGTGTTTCCTGGCCACAAGTTTATCTGAGCTGAGGTGATGAAAAAAGTTCATGGGATCACTTTATGTTGTATCCCTATATGCGCGCTCTTGTAGCCTCCAGACATGGACCTTACCTATAACATTAGGCCTACATGTAATTTCATGATTTAGAGGGAGCTTGCCTCTTTCAGGTCGTACATAAACAAAGAGTCAAATATAGGCTACAGTAAGCATTACATTGTAATGCACTAGTTTAGGAATAAAGAATGTGGGAATATACACATTACGACTCAGTCAAACTAAATCCATATTGTCAATTTGCCTGATAGCCCTAATCTCACTGTGGCTAGGATAGGCTTTCTGTCATAGGCCTACATATATTTGGTAAACTAAACTGCATGCAAACTTGGAGGACTTCATTTCATTAGCTCTCCTGTTTAAAAGTGGATTAAAGCAGACTACAAAGCATATTTCTAAGAAACATATATTGTTAAATTCTTATAGATGTGGAATGGTAGTCCCGTAGTCCCGTGTAGCTCAGTTGGTAGAGCATGGCTTTTGCAACGCCAGGGTTGTGGGTTCGATTCTCACGGGGGGGCAGTATGATAATGTATGCACTCACTAACTGTAAATCGTTCTGGATAAGAGCGTCTGCAAAATTACTAAAATGTTTTTTTTTAATGAATGGTGACCCTGTGTGTTCTCACTGGGCATTCACTGGGTGAATCAACATTGTTTCCACGTCATTTCAATGAAATTACGTTCAACCAACGGGGAATAGATGTTGAATTGACGTCTGTGCCCAAATGGTTTTGGAGAGCAACATCAGAGTTCTTATGTTAATTCTGATACTTTGGTCAATTGTGCAGCAATTACCGCGGATGCGCATGTTTTTAGCCGTGTGTTGATGCAGAACATGAGAGGATATGGGCACTTGAGCGCAATAAAATAAAGCAACTGATGTGTGCACCTAAGCAACGTGGGAAACAGCTCTCTGAAAATAACAATGAAAAAATGAATAGGCCTAAGAATGATCCCAATTTAATCAAATTGTTCCAAATCATATTTGACACCATAAAACCGTGCATTTGTCCATAGCAATTAGCACAAAAAGTTGGCCACTGTTTTCATTCAGAATATTGCAAAATACAGTGTTTTAATATGAGATTTATAGATTCCTACAGTAGAAAACACTGATAAATCGTGTGTTCACTGCATTCAAGTAAAATTATTACGCTTATCCATGTAAAGCAGCCTACACTAAAACGTAGACTGTCGTTATATTCCATAACATTTGTTTAACTCTAAACATGTGATTATTAATAGCATGTACTTCACCTGCAACTAACACAGCTTAAAGTTGAAAGATATCGAAATAAATTATGAAATGTATGCACTTTCGATTTTGTTTTTTGATGGCCTATTGAAATACGTTGAAGTAATTTACTATAAGAGACGCTTAAAACGAATAACCACAATAGCCTAATGTTCATAATCATCCCAAAAATTCCAGCTATATTTGAGTAAATCAATATATTACTAATATTTGGAAGTAGGCTTACCTTATGTCACAAGTGAATGGAAAAAAATAGTATATATTATTGACAACAGAAAAATGCATTCACTACGACTATCATACCGGTTTGGATAAATGAATTGGGGAAATCCCTCAAAATAAATGGCCATCATCGTCATCAAACACAGGAATCTTTCTTATGTTAACT